TTTCCATAGATTAGGATAAAAAAGCAAATGAAAGGTGGATCATTTAGTCCTTCTTCCTTTTGTATAAAACTCTTATGTCCTATGGAGTAAATACAGTAATTCAAATCCTGCACAAGAGTTGCCGAGGACGGTAATGGGAATGACTCCACAATTACTAGCAGACATTTAAGGTTTTATCCTTCGTAGGAACAGGAAAATTGGACTCATGAGTAAAGGACAAAGTGGGGTGCAGAGGAAAGACAGAAATAATGCTACAAGGGACCAGGTAGGTGATGGAGAGCAGATAAGCAGGCCAGGTGGGAGAGCTGGAAGAAGCCTTCTGCAGGCACACAGATCCATTTCGATCACCCCCATTCACGCCAAATGCATAGCCACATAGTGTCCCAGAAATAAAGGAACTGCAATTACTTTAATCTAACAAACGAAGACTAATCTAAAACTAGTTTTCAAAATTTTGCAAGCTGTGGACAAGTTCTATCCTCTGGTCTTGAGTAAAGGGAAGTAGACGAACATTAGAAGCAAGACTGGACATGGGAGCAGTACCAATGAGCCCTTTCTAAAAGCAAGGTTGTGATACTTGTATGAAGTAGTCATTGGGATCTTTCTGTTGAAATTTTTACATTGAGACAGATGCTAATGTGTTCAAAATAACCTAGGAATATTATCATACTCACTAAAGATGGACTGAGTAACTGAAGGGTTTGGAGGAATTACATAGCTCCTCCTGTAGCAAACACATTGTGTGTATTGACCGGGAAGGAAAGAATTGACACTGGTACCCTAGGAAAGCCTTCTTAATATCTGATATTTATCATACCTTATGTGTCTAGCAAAATATAAGATATGGTTCTTTTTCCAGTGCATTTACAATCTGTTGGAGAGATGCGGGGTAAACATGAATTTCAGTGAGCAAGCTATAATAAAACCAGTGTGATCATAAAACATACAGCACCAAGAAATTTGAGAGAAATTGTTTGACTTACAAAATAATTCCCCTAAAACATCAGAAAAGAACATAATTCCATCAAAAGTTGTGATGTTGATTAGTTAAAATGTGTTTCATTTACTGTAGTATAGGTTTTTTTTTTTTTCCAACATACATCAGTTGCTTAGAATGGCACGAGCCTGTCTGCACTATAAACATACCAATTGAGGGGAAAGCTGCTTTGCTCTTTTGGTCCATGTCAGCAGGGTCCACAAGGTTTAGTGGAATCAACCCTGAGGTGGCCTGAATTCTTCCTTTTTCTTCTGCCCTCTGCTGGAAATTTTTTTGAGCTAGAGCAAGAGACAAAGGGAGGCCAGGGTCCAGCAGCCTCTGCTTCCTCCCATGTCTGGGAGCATACCAACTGCAACATTTGAAAGGGTCCATTGGCGTGAGCTTGCATTTAGGTAGGAATTGCAGCAAAAGAAGTTAATGTTTTATTGTAAAAGCAGATACAGTGTATGAAAACAAGTTCTAATACATGCTCAACATGCCTCAAATATTCCTTCTTTGCTTAAATTCCAAAGAATTTTTGATATTGTTTTATTGTTTCAGCTATTTCCCTAATTTTATTCTGATTGTAAAATTAAGAAAATAGATTTTTCATTCCTAGTCATGTATTAACATTATAAAAATACATATTCAGTGCAGAATAATTATAAAACAAATGATCAATATGAAGTCTTTCACCCATTTCTAGAATTATGATTAGTTTTGGTCATGTATCTTTCAAATTTTTATCATAGTATGTATTTCTATATAATATGCATTTATATTTAACACTGTTTGTAAACTGCTTTTTAATAATTTAATAGGCCCTGAATGTCTTTTTATGTTAATGAATGCACTTACATAAAACCAATTAAAATGGATACATACTCTTCAGTTGTGCTGTACCACATTGCATTCAGTTATTCCCCAGTTGTTAGTCCATTTCTGGCTGTTGTAAACATCTTTCTCCAATTATCTAATTATTTTTTAGCACAAATTTGTAGGTGTGGACTTCCTGGAGTCGTTTTAAAACTTTGAGTCCATAATGTTAGAGGCTCCTCAGGAAAATGGTGCCTTAGACCATGGCTCAGTAGTGGTCTCTTTCTCTGTTCATACCTCTCCACTCCCCACCCCTAAAGCCCACCCCTGTGTCTGACCATGTCATTTTGATTCATCTTTGTCAGTTCTTTCTTTTCTTATTCTTTCATCTATCAATTATAGGACCATTGCTCCCTGCTGTTTTGATTGTCACTTTTATAAAATGTATACTTTCTAGCTGGGCAGATCCACACTTCCCCCCAAATTGCTTAATTTAAATTTTTTTATCTGTTATTCTCACACTTTTAAAAATGAATTTTTGGCATTTTTGGAATTTTTAGAAATAATCTCATTACAATTTTCTTTGGACTTACGATTGTAGGTTAATATAGTGAGACTTAAGCTCATCCGTGAGAATTTTGAGTGTTATTATACATGAACATAATATATCTTTCAATTCATCTACTTTTCCTTTTATATCCTTCAGTGAAATGTTTTGTTTTTGTCATGATGTAACTAGTACATGCACATCTGTTTTTGTTTATTATTAACGTTTATATCTATAGCTTAACTCTTGTTTACAACTTTGATTGCATCCCCTAAAATTTAGTCTGTAGTATTTGTGTTCTCATTTTATTTTATTTATTTGGTGTGTGTGTTCTCATTTTACAGTACTCTGATTGAAGTATGATTTTGTCTTTTACCCAAGCAGTAAGAGTATTTTTTACCTTTTGTGTGTGTGTGTGTGTGTGTGTGTGTGTGTGTGTGTGTGTGTGTGTGTGTGTTTGTCCTTTATTACTGATTTCTTGCTTAATTTTTTGTTAGCTAAGAATTATGATAAGAAGAATTAGATCTTTTAAAATTCTTTTCTGGTTTTTGGAATGCCTTATTTGTTTGAAGTCAGGAGTGAGAGGTTATTCCCTGAATAATTCTTTCCAATACTGAATTTGCCCATAGGTTCCTTCCTGTTACCAGCATGCTTGCCTTCCTTCCCAGTTGTGCTCTCCCAGGACAGTTGGCGTGCTGGCGGTACTGGCCTACCCAGGGTGTTTCAGGGTGGCTGGCGGTACTGGCCTACCCAGGGTGTTTCAGGGTGAGATTTGTGACTTCTCTTAACTTCAGCCCCCTGTACACCGAGTGTAGGAGGTGTTTTGGGCTTTCTGGTACCTACCTGACCAACTACTTCCCAGGCAGTCTTTTTCTGGGAATGATTTAAATCATGGCCTTCACCGGCTCTTATTTTTTGCATATTTTACAGAATTTTTCATTTAAAATTTGGGGTGTATTTAATTTTTCCAACACAAGTGTAAACTGTTCCTCCCCTTAATACTGCGTTGATCATTTTTAGATAGGTGGAAATTGGTATGGGAAAGGAATTTGATGCCGTTCACCATGCTTTTCTGGCCATCCAGCCAGCCTCTTTCCAGCAGGTGGCTACCGAGCACTCACTGTGCCTCACCCATTCCTTATAATCACCTCCTCCAGATCCAGGCTATAGATGAAGATACACATTTCAATTTTACCAATTCTTCATTTTAAAAATAATCGTTGTTAGCTGCGTATCTCTAGTGGATTGTGATCTTCTCTGAGGTAGGAACTCTGTACCCTGGCTTTCTTTTCTTTTCCCAAATTTCAAAGTTCTGAACACAACATCCTTCCTCTGTATTTGGCCTGACACATTGGCCTCCCTTGCTCTGTTCTCTGCAAGAGGCTGAATCACAGTCAGGACATACTCCTGAGGGTTTCTAACTTGGGGGCAAGAAGGCATAGTGGTGGTGATTTCTAATTGAACCTGGGATGGAAGAAGGTGAGGTGGGTTAGAACGTCTTTGAGAGTGGATAAGATATATCTAATGGGAAGACAGAGCTAAATATTGTCAGTAAAATTCCTGTCTCCAGTCTCCAGCGTGGAAGTTGTGAGGCCACCTTGCTTTTGCATGGATAATAGAAAACTCTGAACATTTATAGTTCTTAAAGTGACTATACTTGGCTTACTAGTGAAAATGGATATCATATTTAATTTTAGGACTTTTTTTGTACTCCTGTCTATAGTAGTCTAACTATTGAGAAAAATATCTAGGAAATACAAATGAAATGTGAATTTACTGTCTTTTCCCCACTATCTGTTTTACTCCTCTCTTTGGGGATTGTTTGGGAAATAGAATATACTAAGGTGAACTGATTGCCTCAAATGATAGGAATTTTAATTCTGTTATGGAGTCTGTTATCGGCATTTGTTTTTATAGAGTAAACATATATTTCAGGATTAAATCCTGTAAGTTGTATATTATGTAAATGTCTTAAAGTATTTAAATTGAATATATCAAGAAAAATATTTATTGTGTCCTTAATAATGCATTACTTCCTAGCATTACATCTTCATCAGTCGTAGAGGGTTTTGACTTAAGTTATTTTTTATAAAAATTATAGATTCTCTCCTTTAAAATAAAAACCCTCACTGATTAAATAAGCTTAATTCTAAAGAAAATTTCCTTATTCTATGACATGAATTACTGTTCAAAAGTCATTTTTAAAATTATTTATCTTGGGTTAAATGAAAAACACAGACTGCTTCTATTTCAGTTTAATCTGTGACTAATATCTTATTTTCAGGGAAGAATTTACGAGGTTTTGATTTCCCAGTTTACAAAATGAATTAGTTCCTGGACAATCATTTGAAGAGCTTTCCATGATACAATCTTGTGATTAACTTATGTGCATTATTTTCTATGAATCTTGGTATTTTGGTGCCATCTTGTGGCTTAGCTGTGTAATAACCTCAACACTCAAATACACTTTAATGTCCTGGTCAGGATAAGATGTGCTAGGAATTCTTTCTAAAATGCAAATCATATACTACTATAAATCTATGCTAAAAATGTTGAGAATAACTTGTTTGTTACTTGGTCACATGGTTAGACCAAGATAGTAAGGAATCTAATATATGCTTCTCAGTTTCTAAAATCTTTGTTTATGTTATTTATCCCTAGTTGTTGCTGTTTGAACGGTCTTGGATGAACAGATGGAAGTCTTCTGTTCTGCACGAAGGGGAAGGGAACATAAGGAGTGTGAAGTGGAGAGGCCATCTGATCGCTTGGGCCAATAATATGGTAAAAGCACGTCTCCGTCTTCCTAATGCTTGTTCGGTGGCAGAAGAGTGGCCTGATTGTTAGTATCATACCTGAAAGGTTAAAGAAACTAGATTGCTTTGGCTTCCATAATATAGTAATTCCCAACATATCCTGGACTCTATTTTAGAGTAAGAAACCTGAGGCATGGAGAGTAGCCAAGAAAATGAAAAGCCATCTTAATAATTGAAGGGCTGCACTGGGAATGTGGTCTTGAAAATACCATTTGCCTGTTGGCCAAGGACAGGTAACAGTTGATATGAAACAAGTGCAGAATATTGCTGATTTCTCTTTTACTCCCAGTATAATCAATCACAGGCAGAAATTCAGGCCTGCCTTTTAGAAAGTGGTTCATAATTTTCAGTGTGCACTTAAAGTTTACTCATTGTGAATTGGGGTTAACGGAAAGTTTTTTAAAGGGTCTTTTTGACATCTAGCATATCTTTTAGAATTTCAACGTATAATTTAGTAAATCAGTTTCTATTCAGCTTTAAATGGTAGAAATCTCCCCAGAATATGCCTTGGTATTCTGAACTTTTCTTACTCTTCCCGGGTCATAGTAAAAGTAAATAAACCTGTAGTCTCCTGGTTAATTTTCAGGTAATTGCTTGCTTGATGTTTCCTTTTGAGAACTTTAAAATGCCAGGTGTAGTTTTCTTTATATAGTTGGTCTCTCAGATTCAAAGCCTTTCTAAAAAAACAAACCTCATTTTTATTGGAATAATAAAATTAGAAATGTTACTTGTCTGTCATTTTGGAAATGTAGTTGTTGATATCTGTGTATTTTATATTTGAGTTGAATTTGAGTCACCACTGCTATCTACTAATAAAATCTCTTATGTCCAGAAAGAAAAGTGGAGGTTTTCTTGTGGTTTTGGTTCTCACAGGGTTTGTGGGGAGCAGAAGCTTTTCCTTTGCTTGACTTCTAGCCATGCTCAGTAAGCACTGTCAATATTTTTCAGTACTGGTTATCAGTGGTATGTAACAGGGGCTGTTAATAAATTTCATTTACTTTCCTTCTCTGAAGTAGAAGATGCTTACTGCAATTTTATTTTCCAGGGTGTGAAGATTTTTGACATCATCTCAAAGCAAAGAATCACCAATGTGCCACGGGATGATATAAGTCTCCGCCCAGATATGTATCCCTGTAGCCTCTGCTGGAAGGACAATGTGACGCTGATTATCGGCTGGGGGACTTCTGTCAAGGTGGTTTTGCTTGTCTTTTTAATAAGTCCATGTCATTATAGATCAACTGAGAATGGTCCACAGGAATATGAGTTTCTTGTTTTCTTTTGTTTTTTGTTTTAAGAGATGAGGTTTCACTATATTGCCCAGATGGTTCTCAAGCTCCTAAGTTCAAGCAATCCACCTGTCTCTGCCTCTTTCAAAGTGCTGGGATTACAGGCATGAGCCACCATGCTGGCCAGAAATATGAGTTGTTGAATGTCTTCTAGGACACAAATATTTTCACCTGAATATTACTGTAATTTAGTTACCATTTAATCAGTTATTTCATGTGCTCAAATTATTTCATGTGCATACATTTTAAGCTATATTTCTTTTTCTATGTCATGCAAAACAATTTGTGAACTTTTCCATGTTCAATGTGATAATACCCTTTTCGATCTTTTTTAAATTTCCTACAACCCAACTAGCCTTAGCTATTTATGGAACAAGTGGTTAGTTTTGTTGGTTAGTTAGGTTTTCTTCTCTTTATTATTCTTTCCACTTCTCTTAGCTTTGACCCTGTTTCTTCATTAGAGTTATTGGTGGTGGAGAGACAAGGTTAAAACTCAATCATCCTGCTGCTTGGTAATAATTTGATGGAGTAGAGGCTAAGACTTATTATCAGTAATAAGATCTGGGAATATTTTCTGGCATCTAAATATCTGACCCTTACGTGCCTGAGTAAATGAATTTGGCTGTTCTATGAAAGAGGACCCAAACCTCATTCACATTTATTTCATGCCTACTAGTCCTTCTGTTATATTAGATACTTCAGACCCAAGAGTTATTTGTGTCCTTTTAAAAAAACATGTAGCTTAACTTATGCAAAATAAGCAAAAAATTAGCTGAGGTAAAAATGGTATAAGAATACCCCAGTAATGGTCTAATGGAAGATCTCCAATTTTGGAGTCAGACAGACCTGAGATCAGTTCCAGCTTCTCCATTTCCTTCCTTTATGATTCCCTCTGAACCTTATGCCAACATCTGCAAAATGACGCTACTAAGTGTTCTCACATTATACATTTTGGGGAGGAAAAAACATGAGGTTGAGCCCACACAGTGCTTCACACCTGTCATCTCAGCACTCCAAGATGCTGAGGCGAGAGGATTGCTTGAGGCCAGGAATTTGAGCCCAACTTGGGCAACATAACAAGAACCTGTCTCTAAAAAAAAAGCCAGGTGTAGCAGTGCACGCCTTATAATTCTAGTTACTCAGGAGGCTGAAGCAAGAGGATTGAGGGTTACAATAAGCTATGATTGTGCCACTGCACTCCAGCCTGGGTGACAGAGCCTGGGTGACAGACCCTGTCTCTAAATAAAAAATATATATATATATTTTAAAATGAGGTGCTGCATATAAAGAACTTAGTATAGAATCTGACATATTGTAACTGTTTAGTAAATGTTAGCTGTCATTGCTATACTACCATAAAGGTCTAGAAAAATCAAGAAAGAGACAAGGTTATTTAAAATTTTCTCTGGAAAGAGAAAGCATAAGAATTATTCATGCAGTGGTTATTATTACCAAAACAAGCATTGTTACACTTGTGATAAGGTCCTTCTGGCCCTTATGTTGATATAATTCAGGTTCTCTTTTCTCATGTGCTGGGTAAACACAACTTGACTTAGGGTAAGTGGAAGGAAATGGTATCCAATAATCTAGGATAGAAAAAGTGGTTTCCCAGTTTCCCTATCTCATGGGTGTGGTTACTCATCCAATAAACTTATATTGTTGATATTTTAAAAATTCCTTAAATGGACCCGGTAGCTTTTTACTTTGTTTTAAAGTTATGATTTTCTTTTCCTATGGTGAAAGACAAGGAAAATTAGCCTATAAACACATATAACAAGTTCACTGGTGACTACCAGACATTCTTTCTCTAGTATGCTGAATAATGGCCCCAAAGATAGCAGGCCCTGATTCTTGGGACCTGCAAAACATTTTTTATATGATGATATATACAAAATAAGTGTTTATGGAAAATATATATCATCAATATTATGTAAGTATATAGCAGAATATGTGATTAAGAATCTTGAGATGGGGGCATTATCCTGTATTATCTGGCTGGGCCCTAAATGTAACCCCATGTATTCTTATGAGGAAGACATAGAGGGAAATGCTACCACAGAAGATGGGTAGGCAGTACCGCTTTGGAGGCAGGAGTTGGAATGATGTGACCAGGGAATGCTGGCAGCCACCAGAAGACTGGAGGGGGCGAAGAACAGATCCTCCCCTGTAATATTTGGTGGAAGTGCAGTCCTGCCAACACCTAGATGAATTTGATTTCAGATTTCTAGCCTAAGAACTCTAAGATAATAGATTTCTACTGTTTTAAAACACCTAATTGTGGTACTCTGTTCCAGCAGCTATGGAACACAAATGCTCTCTGTGCCCAAATTAAGACCCAACTTCTATAAGATTTGCATGTCAAATGTTTTGTTTTATTGAGGATTATTTTCTTTAGTCTGAATTAGTTATATGCGGACCACTGCTCAGTTTAGTATCTTAGCAAGTTCTCTTGAAGAAAGAGAAGTTAAAGGACATGGTTTTTCTTCAGAGAGAGAGGAATCTTATTGGGGAGAAGTAACTAGAAGCAGTGTAACACAGTGTGCAATTAGAGCTAACCATTTCACTTGTTCATTCATCTGCCCAGCAAACATTTACCAAGTGCCTCCTGTGTGCCAGGACATGTTCTAGTGTTGCAGGTATGTGAATAGACAAATGAATGAATTCCTTCCCCCTTGGGAGATTTACATTCTAGTGAGGGAAGACAGGCAAAAACAAGCAAGCAAGTAGACCATGTTGATGATGGTATATACCAAGGAGAGCATTTAAACAGGATGATGAAGTAAGGGGTTGGAGGCAAGTGCCTTTTAAATAGGGTGGTCTGGGGTGGTGTCTTGAATGACTAATGTGTCATTTGGGTGGAGATCTGGAGCCCCACCCATGTAACTGGGAGTGGGAGGGTGGGTAGGGCAGTAGAGGGAACAGCAGTGTAAAATCCTGAGGCAGGAGTATGTATTTTTGAGGAATAGCAAGGAAGCCATCAGAGTGAGGGGAGCAGGTATGGAGGAGAGAGATGTAAGTAGGAGTGGGGTGGGATGGGCTAGGGGGGTGGAGGAGCAGAGCATGCTGGGGCTCTCCGGCCTTTGTGAAGTCTTTGGCTTTTAATTTGCGTGAGATGGGATGCCAACAGAGGGCTATGAATAGTGGAGTCAGTTAAGTGATATGCCTTGAGTTTCAGAAGAATCACTGGCTGTGTGGAGCTAAAGAGGGGAGACCAATAAGGAGCTGCTGCAGTCACTTCAGTATAAAAGAGTGTCTCTGGTCATCATAATGAAGCTGGTGAGAAATGACTGTTCCTGGATCTATTTTGAGAGTAGACCCTGCAGTATTTGTGGACAGTTGGGTGTGAGTCTAAGATCATCAGTTACCTAAGGATCTAAAAGATGAAGCTGTGTTTTACTGGAATGGGATGACTGCTGATGGAACATATTTAGAGACAAAATGGCAGGAGTTGCTTTCCTTTGTGTCCACATGTGAGATGCCTGTTATCTGCCTGTGTGAATGGAGGAGACAGCTGGATGAAGCAGATTAGTGTTGATGCATGAGAACCCACCTTTTGATGGTGGGGGTTCTTAGAATCACTGATCTGCTTGTGTGCAGAACTTGAGCTTATAGTAGTACTCACTTAGTCACCTGCCTATACCTCCTGCTTCCCACCTATATGAGACAGGTGCTAAGATAAGAGTTCAGACTACAGCACTTAGGAGAAGTAAAGTAGAGCCATGCGCAGCTGTCAGTAATGTCTTGTATCCTTGTCCTCAGGGATTGTGACAAAACCAGCAAGGTGCAATCAGGACTTGGTGTGAGTTCTACCTCTGGCTATGTGGTCTTGGGTACTTCTCAGAGCCTCAGTGTCCTCATCTCTAGATTAGACATAATAATATTGACATCCAGAGGTGTATAAGGGTTGGAAGAGCCCCAGTTAGTCCTCAAGTTCTGTTAATACCTCTCAGATATCTCCACTTCTTTGTCTTCCTGTTAAGTCTCCCTGCCCCTCGTTTTATCCTCCTTGATTCTGTCCTCCTTGCTTCTGTCCTAAACAGTGCAGCTAGAATAATCTTTCTAGAGTGTAGACCAGGTGAGGTCAGTCCCCTTTTTAAACTTCTCAAGGAATTCTCATTGCCCATAGGATGACTGATCTTAAACCTAACTTTCAGAGGTCTGCATGATTTGACCTCTGTATTGTGCTCCAGCCTCTACTCTGTCCCCCTTTCCTCTCATGCTATTTCTGTCTGATTGAACTTCCACTTGAAGGCCCCAGGGTATCACATTGCCCTGTTCACCTGTCCTGTCTCTCCTTCTTCAGCTTACGTGCCACTTCTTCTAGGAAGGCTTCTTCCTCTGTCAATAGATGCCCCTGCTCTGTATGTCCCTGCCACATGTCAGTAAAGTGCCTTATTTCTATGTCTCTCCCATTGCACCATAATCTTAGGAAAATTACTGGGTCTTTACAAAGTCCTTAACTCAGGACTGGTGTCAGTAGCTGCCCCAAAAGTACTACCTAGTATTGGTATCATATTTGTTTTTTTGTCATACTTCATACCATTTGAAAGGCTACGCCTCATGTGCTTCTTTGAGCACGTTAAAACAATTTTTCATTGGACACTGTGGAATGTGGCTGTTGGACGATTTAGTAGTTTTGCAAGTAAGTTTGGAAAGAAGAGCGGCTCACTTATAAGCTCAAAAGTCTACCAAAAGGTGACTAAAACTGAGGAAAACTGAGGAAGTAGATGGGAAATTGTATGAGATGGACAGGAGGCAAATGACAAAAAACAATCAAGGGAAAAGAGAGCCAATCACTTCTAAGCAGAGGCTTAAACCAGCCATGGGTTTGCATCCTGCATGAGGGAAAGTGAGCACTCTCATACAGTCACTGAGTTGCTGCAATGCTGCTGGAAAGCAACCTGGATATACATAGATAATTAAACAAACAAGCAAAACAAAACCTTCTGAAAGGGGTACACACCCACTGGTATCAATTCTACTTCTAGGAATTTCTCCTAAGGAAACAAAAGTTTAAAAAAAATTTTTTTTTAAGTTGGAGTCTCACTCCATCGCCCAGACTGGAGTGCAGTGGCACACTCACAGCCACCCCAGTGCTGACTTGATAGGCTCGGGCGATCTTTTCGCCTCAGCCTTCCAAGTAGCCAGAACTACAGGTGGGCGCTATCACACCTGGCTAATTTTTTATTTATTGTAGAGATGAGGTCTCACCAAATTGCCCAGGCTGGTCTCAAACCCATGGGCTCAGGCAGTCCACTTACCTTGGCCTCCCAAAGTACTGGGATAACAGGCTGAGCCACTGAACCTGTTCAAAAATTTTATATGCAAGTAGGTTGATTGCACTATTGCTTACAGTAAAGATAGATAGAAACAGAAAGCTACTGCCCTAAAAGGGGATTGAGTATGTTAATTATAGTATATGCATATAATAAAATACAGTCAACCCTCAGTACCTGTGAGGTATTGGTTCCAGGACTCCCTACTGCGGATACCACAATCCACAGATGCTCAAGTCCCTTATATAAAATGATATAATATTTGCATATAACCTACACACATCCTCTTGCATACTTTAAATCATCTCTAGATTGCTTATAATACCTAATGCAATGCTTATACATCACTTCATTTGTGAGGATTCAACAAAGTACTTGGCCCACAGCAAATTCAAGCTTTGCCTTTTAGAATGTTATAGAATTTTTTTTTCCTGGATATTTATGATTCTTGGTTGGTTGAATGCATGGATGTGGAACCCACAGATACGACGTTCCCACTCTACTATAAAGATACTGAAGAATTATGTTGTGGAAGAATATATCGAATCATTTGTATTAAATTGTTAGGTTAATAAAAATAGCTTTCATAAAAAAGATTTTTTGGCATTGTTTAGGTTTTTTATTTTGTTTAATTTAAGAAAATAAGTAGCCAGGAATCATTTTATTTCTACTGTGGAAAAATTGTCATTAATTATTCAAGATAAATCTTTAATCGTACAAGGTAAATTAAGGTTTCATATGATTTGGAAATAAAGTACCTTTCAAAAGTTAAGTAATCTTACTAACCTCTTAATCTTTTACATGAACTGAGTTTAATTTTCACATTACCACTTGTTTATATTACTTATATAATATTTAAGCAATTATTTGAAAATCATGTGAAATGACTAAAAGACAAAGGTCTTCAATGCCTGAATAAGTAAAATTATATCAATTAAAATTGCAAGTTACCTTCTTCAAAAAAAAATATTAATGGCTTGATCATCATTGTCTTCTTTTATCACACAGTTGTGAAAATGAATTTACTTGCAATTTTTATTTCTCTTGTCTTTGATGTGGTAGCAAATATACTACTATTCACCAGCCTTAAGCCTTAAGCTCACATTCTCGATCCCATTCTTCAGAAGCTAATGGGTCACCATCTTGACACTGGGTAGCAGGACTTCCCTAAGGTCACTGAATAAGAAGGGCCACCAACTCATTAGCATCTGCTCTAATCCTGGCAGAACTGGCCAACAAATCAATCCCTCTCACTTGTGCATTCATTCTGATTTGTAACAGTAACAAGACAAGGCCTGGATGAAAAGCATGAAGAAATTGACTAGAGATATTCTAAAATAGTTATAATTTTCCTTCCATAGACAACCAGGGAGTTTATATCTTTGACACAGAACCCACATAGACTCAGTTTCTCTATGCAGTTCTTGCTTCCTGTAGTTTTATTTTAATTTTAGATGAAAATGAAAAAGATATGATTACATTGAAAACATCAACGTCTGAAGAACTGTACATGAGGAAAATGCAATGAGAAATAATGGTATTCTCTTTGTGCCAGGACAATGAATAATACTTGTTTGCCCCTTTGAGTTTTTATGTATTTTAGAATTTTTTGTAGTCTAACTATACTTAGGGTAGGAGCTATAAAAGAACACTGTTTTTTGTTTTTTTTCTTCAAAAAAGGAAAAAACCTGATCACTGACAGAAATTGTACCTGCATCAGTACTTGATTTCAGGTTCAGTCTTACCTAGATAGCTGAACTTATGTAAATTTTTCTTGTTTCTTTTTACAAAATAGAATACATTCACTTCAGAGAATACAGCAAAGAAACTAGAAAATATCCATAGTCTTATCACCCTAAAGCAAACATTGTTAGTACATGGATGTGTTATCTGGTGTGCTCTTGTGAGTGGTAGATAAGATAGGTATAGATTGAGATATAAATGCAGATTTCTACCCAAACTGTGTACAGACAACTTAAAATAGGGATTGGCAAACATTTTCTTTAAATAGCTTGTAGTAAATACTTTAGATTTTGCAGGCTCCTTAAGTTTCTTCTACTGCTTTTTGTTTTCCTTTCTCCCCTCCCTCTCTCCTCCCTTCTCCCTCCTCCCTCTCTCTATTTCAACTCTTTAAAAATGTAAAAACTATCCTTGCTTAGCTTATGGGCCATAAAAATAAAAACTACAGGCTAGGGGCTGTAGTTGCCATTCCCCGATTTAAATTATGTAGCGCATTGATTTTCATATATTTGAGATAAGAAGAACATGTGTCACTTTTGCAAAGTATTATTAAACAACAGTAAGATAAATTACTAATATTTAATCAGAAACACAAGATCTAATATGCAGATTGCTCGGATTAGCCATGGGGTATTTTTGATTATGTACTTTATTTGGATGATAATAGAAAGAGTTCTTGAATTGCAAAAAATGGGCCATTGGAAACATGTTAAACTATCTTATAGTTTCCTTTTTTTCCTTTGCCTTTGAATAAGAATTCTTGAAAGGATCAAGTTGGAGAATATAAGTAATGGATGCTGTATGTCACTCAAATTAATTTCTGTCATTTAAGCCATAGGGTAGATTGCGTGCACTCCATCTTTAGTGCTATATGGTTAATTTAACAGAAGTATCTTATATTGAATAAAATGTTATGAAGAATATTCCATCAATTGAATAATCTAACCTGTGAATTTATTTTCCAGATATGTTCAGTGAAGGAACGGCATGCCAGTGAAATGAGGGATTTGCCAAGTCGATATGTTGAAATAGGTATGGCTTCACCACTTGTCTTCTCTGGGTGTAAAACTTGAGTGTCCATTTTATTCAGTGGAAACCCTAAGGTCACCTTATTCTTCATGGCTCATCACTTGGTACCTTCATAAAATAGAGCAAGTGGCTTTTAAGTTTTACAGTTTCACTATTGGGGAGCCTTTTTAAAAAACTATTTCTGATTTCCATACAGTAATTTTGTAGTATAGCTTTGAAGCTGGGTTTGGGTTTTGTTATTTACCACGTGGACTTTGGACACATTTCTGTATGCTTCAGTATTCTCATCTGTAAAATGTAGAAAAGAACGTTTGTCTCATAAGCTGGTTGTGAGGGTGGTAAGAGGTAATTAATTCACATACCTACCACAATACTGACACCTGAACCTGTCAACTTGACTCTTTTAAATATTCATTTTCATCATCACTGATCTGCCCCAAAATGCAATAGTCTTTTATCTTGACCCCTGCAACAGTCTCCCACCTGGTTCATCTCCTTCCAGTATGGGTTATGGCTCTCATCTAATCCTCCCACTGCAATCAAAATGCAGATCAAATTATGTAGTTAGCCTTCATTGTCCTTAAGATGCAGATGGAACTCCAGCGTGAACCACAGGGTCTTGTATTGACCCTTACCTGCCCACCTAGCTGCAACTAACACCATGCTTCTCCTTGATGTCCGTGCTGCATCCACACTGACCTTTTTCCACCTTCCTTACTCCTCCTTCCCCTCTGTCTAAAACAATCTTCTTGCCTGTTTTCATTTCACTGACTCTTACTCATCCTAAATAATACTCCACCTTGAATGTTGCTTTACTGGGAAAATCCACTGGACCTCTTTCACAAGGTCAAGTCCTTCCATTTTAGGCATGTATAATACCTCAGACCTCCCCTTTCCAGCACTTGTCATGGTTGCAACAATTCTGTGATTATTTAAGGCATTTCTGTCTCTTGTACCAGACTGTCACCTCCTTGCAAGCACACACTGGGTCTGTTTTGCTCACCATTTATATCTCAAGAACTTGGCACATAGTATGTGCTAAATACAATTGAGTTGAATTAATCAGTGACTGTGAGAAACAATTATTTGGAGAAGTATGCCATGGATAATATACCGTGGCTTTTATAACTTAGTTTCATACTGAGCTGCAAAAACTATTCTGAAGGAAAAAAAAAAAATTTTGCTATAAGTCATCTCTAAAATTCATTTGCTCATTTAGATGGTAGATGTGGAACATAAATTTTATAGATCATTATGACAAGGTGAAAATGAAATAAATCATTTGCACATGACTATATTTCTAGAAAAAGAAAGCTGTCCTTTACCTACAAGACTAAGGTGGTTATAGCATTTAAATCTGGACTATTTTGTACTTGAAGTCAGAAGTTGGTGGTAGGGTTTTAATAATTTTTTATTTTACCTCAGAAGAATAAATATATAGTTGAAATTGCTCAGAGAACGGACAAAATAGGTAGATGCAGAACATAATAGTGCTGTGAAAAACTAAGGAACAAGATAAAAGAGAAGACTGATAACTAAAAGATACAGATAATTGTCTCAGTATCTCTTTCTTCTTTCCCGCTCTTTCCTTGCTTTCCAGAAAAGAAAAACCTCTGAACATCTCAATGCATAGTATCCCAAGAGATAATTATTTGAGAATTTAAATACAAACAAGTTAAAAAAAAACACAAAACTTAAAAAAAAAGTTATAAGGATGTGAAAATCACCAGGTTGGTCTAAAAATGCAGCAATTGTCATCATTTCACTCTCTTGGCAATCTTTGAAGTGCAAGTAGCATTCTTCTCATTCTATTGATGAAGACATTCAGGCTCAGGGAGGTAAATAACTTGTACGAGATCTTACTACCATGACATTAAAATGGATAGAATATAACTCTATAGAATCACCAGAAAGCTTCCCAGGAAGCTAGCAGTTTGCTCAAGTGTATGATCTTGATGAGGCTACTTAAACTTCTTGACCATGCTTTTCTCACCAGTTAAATTGAGATGATAATACCTGCCTTTCAGGATGGTTGCGAGAAGTAAACATGACACAGGTAACTTGCCAAACATGGTACGTGGCACACAGTAGATACTCACTAAATCATGGTGGTTATTATCACTGTGCAAACTTCCATCCCAACTCTGTGACTGCTAATAGTTGGCTCAGTGGTGGCCCTATTAGCCCAAAACCCCAGGGTCACATTATTGTAGTGTAGTTCAGCTGTACTATAATTTACGTGGAATAGACCATGTGCAGGTACTAACAGTATCCCATTACTGACATTTCCCTACCATGGTTAATGGTTAAGTACAATTTTTCCCCTCTTGAGAGAAAACTTTTAAGAATGTAAGTCATTTCCACAGCAGGAGGCAAAGTGGGTAAGAGTCCTTGAGTAGGATAATGGAAAGGGAAATATTAAGAGGTCTGGATTACAATTTGCTTTAGCCCTGAATAGTGGGAGCCATTGCTCTTTAGTAAATGAGGTGAAAGTGCATTAAGGTTAAAGAAGTATTTATGACTATACATTTCCTAGAAGCCAAATGTTTATAACTCTTTCTTAAAACCAAAATCTCATAAATAGCACAAAAGTTATTCCTGTCAATAGGATATTGATTTACTCTTGTAAATAAAAAATTATAATAATGATGATAATAATAAAAATTAAGCTTACTGACCAATCACCAACTCAGTTCTCTGTACATAGGGATTTGGGGATGTAATTTTTTTTCTTCCAAACTGCATTGTTAAAAATAAGTGCTTGCTCTACTTATTTGAACTTTACCTAGGTCTCTTGTGTTCTCACAAAAGTACCCTAACCCTGTGATACTTTTCACCAAAGTCTTCCATGATCTCTATGGAATGGTAGTTGGAGAGCTGATATTGTGTTGCTGGGAAATGAAGCCAATGTTTCTGTGTCATTTTCTGGACATCTGTTAGGGGCAGATGACTTACATGCAAGGAATCAGTGATTGACTGCCTACTCTTGATTTCATATGGAAGTTTCTTTAAAAATTAATAACTGAGATAAACAACGATATGGGGAGCTATATAGAGTGACAGAGAAGCCAGGAAGAAACAGAGGGAAGAGAAAAGAAAGGAAATTTTTTTTTTACTTTAATTAAGTAGTAACTGTGGTCTTAGAACTTAGCTCATCGTTCTTTTTATTTATTTATTTATTTTTAGCCTCTTGATTGATTGGGAAAACAGCAACCTGGAAATCTGAGATCTGTTTGCGTGGTGATGGAGACTTGTGAAATCATTCTTTCTTAGATCTAAGTATCTCTTCATCTACCTGTTATCATTTCTATTCGGCATACAGGTTACAGCAGAGGGATCTTTTTTTTTTTTTTTTATGCACAGTGAATGACATGGTTTCATCTCTTAGTCTAAGTCTCAGAAGAGATTATGATACCTGGTATCATTCACGATGACTTCATTTATTATTTAGTCAGGGTCTCACTCTGTCACCCAGGCTGGAGTGCAGTGGCATGATCACAACAATCACTGCTCACAGCAGCCTCGACCTTCTGGGCTCATTATTCCACCCCAGCATCCCACGTAGCTGGGACTACAAGTGGGCACCACCACAACACCCAGGTAATTTTTTTTTATTTTAAAGTAGAGGTTTCACTATGTTGCCCTAGTTAGTCTCAAACTCTTGGGCTAGTCTTGAACTCTGAGGCAATCTGCCTGCATCAGCCTCCCAAAGTGCTGGGATTACAGGCAGGAGCTACTATCCCCGGCTTCAATATGTTTTTATTTTAGAGTCTAGCTATGAGCCGGGCTCGGTGGCTCAGCCTGTAATCCTATGCCTTTGGGAGGCTGAGGTGAGTGGATTGCCTGAGCCAGCGGGTTCGAGACCCACCTGGGTAGGCGAGACCTCATCTCTACAATAAATAAATAAAAAAAAATTAGCCGGGTGTGGTAGCGCGCGCCTGTAATTCCGGCTACTTGGAAGGCTGAGGTGGAAGGATTGCCGGAGCCCAGCACATCGAGGCTGTGGTGGCCGGGAGCAGCCACTGCACTCCAGTCTGGGCGACAGAGTGAGACTCCAACTCAAAAAAAAAAAATAAAAAGAGTCTAGCTATGTATGGTTCTCTGTTCTGTTATAGATAGTTTAGCTTAAATCTCTATAATCTATTTTTCTAGTCTGTATTGAATTTTCTTCTAACATTTTATTATGAAATTATCTTTAAGTACAGAAAAGTAAGGAATTTTACTGTGAACACTGTTGAACCGCCTAGATTCTGCAACTAAGATTTTACTGTATTTGCTTTATAACATATTTATTCACATATCCATTCCTTCTCTTGAGAGGATTGTAAAAACTCTTTTTCACACAGTGCTGGAGACTAAGGTTTTTGTTGTTAGGAATGGAATGAATATATTTTTTTCTCTAATAAGTAGTGGTAACAAATCAGAAGCACCTGAAGTAGCAAATATATTTTGTTCCTACATATCAGCAATCACCAGGCACAGTGCTAACTAAATATGTCCTTTAATCTTCACAGTATCCCAGTGAGTAGGGGCTATTATCCCATTTTAAAGGTAAAGAATCTGATGTTGAGAAGGGCCAATAATGCTCAAGATTATTCTATTCATAAGCAGAGTTGGCAGCTTTTAAACTCAGATGTGCTTAGTTTTTACGCTGTTGCTCATAAGCATGTTACCACAAAGTTCTTTCCATGCATTTCCTCTGCCTAACCCCTGACCCTAGTTTATTGCCATAGGAACTGTGAGAAGGACAGAGGCTTGCTCCAGACATTCAACCCATGGGCTCATCCTCTAGAATCCAAAGACCTTTTTTATATACCAGAGATAGTGGCTGCTTACCTGTTCTCTAAATGGTCAGATGAGATAGAAAGGTAGAGGGTTTGTATTTTTTTATTTGGTTCAGAGAAGTATCTCATTTGGAGAAGTAGGAATTTTATTTTCATTCATTTTATTCTGAGACTGACAGCTCTTCTTCATTGCCTCTCTTCCAAATTATTAGAGAACTT